ACCTAAATTTACGCCAATTTTAAATGAAGCCATATTTCTTTCGTAATTAAAATTAAATTTTCTAATGCTTAAGTCGACAGTTGTAATTTTTGATGAGATATATAGCTTTATATCATTTTCCGTAGTGTCTCTCGAAAATCTAGAAACAAAGATTGACTTCTTTGGAGGAACCACAACTAGTTTCCTCGTATCAGACTGGAGTACCGGCGGAGGGGGTTGAGTTACTGCGTTAGTAGTTGAGGATAGGGAAGGCGGTGGAGGCTTTGAAGATGATGCCACCACTTCAATGGGGGAAGGGGAAGATACTTCAGGCTCTTTATTATTTTGTCCTCCCTATCTTGTCTATAGATATGATAATTATTTGGAAGAATCTCTGAATTGAAAATGTGAGGTTTCAGCCAAGTTTCAGTAAAAGAAAGAATATTATAATTACATTCAAGGCCTTTAAAGTATAAGTTCGTTAATTTAGTATTTAAGCCTCTTACATTTTGGTAATAAATACTTAAAGCAGATTTAATAATTAGTTTTTTGATTCAGTGTTATGACGGGGAATATTAGCTAAGTTATTTACTTTTTTGGGCCTATATTCGAATTCACGAACGAAAGCTCCGGGGGGCCAAAAAGAACTACTAAGCAGCGCATTAAAATTATCTAAATTTACGCCAATTTTAAATGAAGCCATATTTCTTTCGTAATTAAAATCAAATTTTCTAATGCTTAAGTCGACAGTTGTAATTTTTGATGAGATATAAAGCTTTATATCGTTTTCGGTAGTGTCTCTCCAAAAACTAGAAACAAAGATTGACTTCTTTGGAGGAACCACAACTAGTTTCCTCGTATCAGACTGGAGTACCGGCGGAGGGGGTTGAGTCACTGCGTTAGTAGTTGAGGATAGGGAAGGCGGTGGAGGCTTTGAAGATGATGCCACCACTTCAATGGGGGAAGGGGAAGATACTTCAGGCTCTTTATTATCCGAAGCAGATTTCGTTACACGGTCTTTTGAGGCTGAGGATTCTGATGCTGGAGGACACGGAGAGGATAAATTAATTAAGTCCGTCGGAAGATTATTCTGACGTGCAACGGCAGCAATTTCCTTAGATGGACTATGAAGACGCTTACGTTTAGACACACAGATATCCTTAGCAGATTGCAAGGTATCTAAGCATTTAAATGATTTAAACATATTTTCATACTGCTTAAATTTTTCTGTCAGTACCGACAATTCTCTTCCTATTTCTGTAAAACCATTTCTGGTTTGCCTAAATAGCTTGAAAAGATCAACTTCGGTTGACCTGCACTTTACGCAAGACCAGCGAAGGCCCTTGCCATCATTAATAGCGTCCAGAATTCTTCCCGTCAAACCAGCACATTTCAGATGGTAAATACCATCACACAGCCAGCACGATAAGTAGCGTTCAGAATCGCTTTTAATTTGGCAAGTATCAAGATCACACTTCATATTGAAAGATTTATGTAATACACTCGTTAATAAAAGACAAACAAAATAAATTATNCTTCCCGTCAAACCAGCACATTTCTGATGGCAAATACCATCACATAGCCAGCACGATAAGTAGCGTTCAGAATCGCTTTTAAATTGGCAAGTATCAAGATCGCACTTCATATGTAAAGATTTATGTAATACACTCGTTAATAAAAGACAAACAAAATAAATTATAACAACTAAGGAGCTGATGTAAATAGCTTTAAATAAATGTAGCGAACAGTTTGAGTATCACTGTAATTATGACACTTAATAAACGCAACGCAAACAGCTGTGACAAGAATTACTAGAAGAAGTAAACAAAAAGAGTAGAACAAATGTGCAAAAACAAAATGAATTCAGTTAACTGCAAAGGATACAACAACAATGATATCGACAAATGACTCGGCAAAAGTAGAATGTATGCTAGTGAAATTTAATTAAATTTACTTTAATATAAAACCAATAACTTTCACTTAGCTTCAATTATTTCACACTCTGATGCTCATAAGCACTTTTTATCAGTACTTTAACACAGAATTAGCACAATGAACTTAGTAAGTAGAAAGCCAAAATCAGAGCACAATAAAGTACAACCTCACAGCTTGACGTTTGCTAGGTATCTGTAGGTAGGTGTTGCGCGTCGTAGTTGTGTGGATATTGCAACTGCTGTTTTGCTGTCGAGGTTGCGCGCTATTGTACGTTCGATGCTGGCGTGACGGTTCCAGGTGCGCTCCTAGTGTGGCACCCGTGATTCACGCTCGTATAGCCCTGCTGTGGGCCAGCCGTGTTACGCCGTTGTGGGTGCGTAGCTGTCGTACCAGCCACCGGTTTCCTGTGAGCAACAAAGAGCAATTTATATATATATTCACAAATAATTCCTTCAGTGTGGCGCGTTATTCAAACACTCCAAGACCAATAAAATTTTCATGAACCTCTATATAAGTTCCGGTTGCACTTCCCACGTTCAATAATATAGGGGCATAACTCAACTTACGTTTTAGGAGATTTCATCACACAATTAATAAGCTTGATAAGGAGAATACGTTAGGTCGAACAGATAACTAAACTTCCCATAAAGGCGAAGATATGTGTCTTTCTGTCTGCCTTTTGCATACCCACGGTACGAATTTGCAAAACTTTAATAACGTTTTCCCACAAAGTTGAAAATTGTGAATATCTCGCTATATTATTAAACGTGCGACTTGGTTTTTGGAATTTCACTCACTTACCTTTTATCCTCGATTAGGCCAGCTACCCGTAAAGTTCCTATCGCTGCTGCTGGATGGTCGGTGTAGTATCTGGGATGGCGGTCGCTGATGTGGTAGAGTATAGGAAATATGTCTGAGTACTTGGAAGATTTGCCTTTTTGGTCAATATTGGTAAGTTTTTTAGTTTTCTTGGTTTTTTGCGTTTTAATACAGTATTTATTTTAATACTAAACGTGTGTTTAAAAGGTGTGTTTTCACCACAACTTAAATAAGCTCAAGCGCGTTTTCACATTTAATTTCTAAGTCCGACACTTGAACAAAAGGCTACAGAACTTTTCCACTGTCACTGTTGAATTGGACGCAAGCTAACAATATGGCGACTTGGTGTTGCCAGCAGGTTTTATATACCCTTGCACTGTGGGAATATTCCATTTCGAAGAATAACGGGCACTGCGTCATTTGGACTAGTTCCGTTACTCTTCACAATGGAATTTGCCGCAGTGCAAGGGGGAATATCAAAAAAAAAAAAATCCGGGGTTCCGTGCCCAAATTATCTGTGCAAGCAAAAGCCCAAGAAAATATAACCGATTAAACTTCAACTTTCCTAATTTTCAATATTTAATATCTCGGAAGCTACTTGACCGATTAGAAAAGTATTGATGCCAATCGGATAAATAGCCGAGTTTGTGTAGTTGCTTTGCGTGTATTTCGTCATTTAGCGAGTGTTCTTTTGTAGCTCGGCTGAAAAAGAATGGACATATTATAATTACCTAAGTATGTATGTATGTATGTATATACATATACTTATAAATCCAACGTTTAACTTAAACGTACCTCCGTTTTGTATACTCGAGTGCCAATGCTCAGGAGATAATAACTTCAGACCATATTTTAGACTGAAAAGAAGTGCTGTTAAAAAATTATGTAGTTTTATGGATCACTTAAAGAGAAAGGAAACAAGATTCCATAATACCATCTGCTTGGAGAAACGAGTTGCCATCGCCCTATATGCTATTGGGTCCTCAGCGGAATATCGTAGCATTGCGAACTTGTTTGAAGTGGCCAAATCAACAGTGTGCGCAGCTCCCTTGGAATTTTGTAGGGAAGTGTGGAAAGTTTTACACCTAATGTTTTTCAACCACTTTTCCCTAAGTAGAGAAACAATTGAAGACTGTGTTAATGGGTTTAAACACATTGAATTCCCTCAGTGTATGGGTGCTCTTGGTAAGCTCTTAAGCCCAATTTCA